TTTTCATAGTAATCATGAATTTTCAAGCAACTACAACATTATTATTATTAAAATAAACATGCTCAGTTATGTTGCCACAGAAAGATGAGAACTGAGTTCTTTAAGTTCTATAAATTATAACTTAAAATCAGTGTTGCAGTGTTACTATTTTTCTTTTTGTAATTTTATTTCACTGCATAAAAGAATAAGTGCTTATTTCTCCATTTTCAAAAGAAATTAAATAATTTAAAAGTGTTTAAAAAGTAGGCATGGAAAAAAATAGTAGGCATGTCAAGAAATGAAGATTTTTAGGTATTGCTCAAATGTTGCTACCATGGATGATTGATGATTTACATGTGTGTTTTTTGTTCTAAATTGTATTTATTGTGTTGTTATTGAGAATATACACAACAAAAAGTATGCCAATTCAGCATTTCTAAATGTGCAATTTAGTAACAGTGATCAAATCCTTGAGTTGTGCAACCATTCTTATTCTTTTTTCTAAGACGTTCCTCCTTCATTAACGGAAACTCACTGGCCCCTAAGGTTCCTGTCTGATCTTTTGAGCTGCTGCTGTTAATTCGATCCCATATGGGTAGTTCTTAAAAGATCATAATGCTCAGGGCAGACCTTTTGTACCACATCATGCATGTGTTTTTAAAACCGTTATTTCCCAAAGGTCATAATAATACTGAATGTCTTTGCTTCCAAAAAAGAGTAGGTTAGTTGGTTTTTTGAATAGGTTAGTCTGGAGTATACTAGAAATTTTATTTAAGTGGACTTTGTAATGTCCATTAATGTAAATATGAATGTGCAAGAATGTTTATAAGGTATTACATTATGATACACCAACTAGTTCTTCCATGTAAAATAATTCCAGTGCAATATAAACATGAGCAAAGATGTAAAATAGGATCTGAATTATTATCCTTTATATTACAAAAGTGGTTTAAAAATGGGAATTCCATGTATTTTTTTTACATTTCTTATTATATTTTACTATAAGCATGATAGGTATGGTGAGGAACAGTAATAATTCTGTCCTTGGAAGTACTGATTTGTAGAAGTGCTGTGATTTTACAAGAGAAATGATGTTGAATTAAGTAGAAACAATATATAATTTCTGCTCTAATTTTATGTTTTTCATAAACGATTTCATGTGATATCTTGATAAATTTGATGAACTGGCTTCATTTTTAGAATCTTTATTTTAAAATAGATGTGTATCTTTGTATGGTTTTAAGTATTCCAACCAGTTCTTAAAATCTATTTTGTGGAGATCCCCTT